TTGATGTTCTTATTTTTGCTCATTTGACACGGTTAATGCAAGCCATACAGCTTTTTAGAGAACTTACAGTTTGTATACCAGTTTCCGCGCAATTTCTTTCATTGTACTTGTATAAAATCTAGACATTTCCACGTTTGCTGGATTAATAGTTAGAACTGCATGGGAGGCCTACAAATGAAAAGCACGAAATTACAACAATGTGGATGTCATTGAAGTTTAAAAACAGATCGACATGTTTTACAGGTCACGGGCCACAAAGCTTATAAACCATTTGACCAACCTGATGCAAAAAGTTTAACTTGTGAGATGCTTCTTGTTTTTCTGTTGGCACTTTGTTATCCTTGCGACCCATATTAACACTATTACAAGAGGAAAATTTATCGACAAAAAAGAGAAAACTGCTAAATTTCCAAAATTTAAAGTGTCCAGAATCCACCCCGAGAGACTGGCTCTACTTTGAATGTCCGCTGGTTTGCTTACTCGGGGTTTCATACAAAAACGTGCACAACAACATGGCGTCTGAAAGTGACCGGTTTTTGAGCAAAAAATGAGACATAAACGATGAATTCACGTGTTCTCTCATGCAGTGAGTAGCAATTTAATCGTCAAAAGTGTCATGTCAACTTGGTGAATAATACTGCAATGTGTCTTGTAGGAAATTGTTCCTGGAATGCTGTAATTTTCTTCCGGCGTGTAACCTCTTCTGAAACCTCTACCTTCCTTCGCTTGTCGCGCCAATATACAGTGCGATTTTCACGGCTTAAAACAAAGAAGCGACTTTTGGAAGATGCATGTGGAAAATCTGTAAATAGCATAGGTTATCTAAGCAAGGTAAGTTAAATTTGTTGTAACGCACCGGATATTTCATCAGCTAGCCCAAATTAACTGCCGGTAGCACTGGCGATTTATAAGCTTAGTAAGATCTATATTGTGTCATCCAATTGTGAATCATTGTACACTTTTCTTGTGTTCTGCTAATGATATACAGTAAGTTAGTTAATTCTCATCTGCATCCAAGTATGTGAGACTGACCACAGTAAACAATTTGTCACTCGGGGTGATTGCATAATATAAGCTAGAAAAGCTAAAGCGCTGTCCCAAAAAAGCGCCGCCTAGTGTAATTTCTTTCAGTTTCTGTCATGCAACGCGAAGAAAAAAGGGCCCCCCTGCCCAAAGACTATAAAATCCTAATCTCATAGTGACTGAAAATTTTTTTTTATCTGATTTGTGGTCAAAGCAGTGTAGCTGTTATAATGTGACAGTCCTACAAATGACAAACTGGGATGCAAGGGGGTGGGAGAGGGTGGCTGGAGGGGTTAAGAGGGCATTGTGGTTGTGTTTAGGGGGAGACTTAGGAGATAAAAGTGCTAGATAATAGTTACTTGATCCAGTCTGAAGAAATGACTTGGATACTCATATGTTTTTTGATATTAATGTATCGGGAGAAATGGGTAGGAACCATAATTTTAAGATACGATCTAGGAAGACATGTACAAATTACTTCAAATTTTCATTTTTTAATCGCTACATAATGCATGCACCTTCATAAAACAGTGTTAAGTCCTCTCTATTAGATCATTTGTGTCAATGTTAAATCAGGTGTAATGTGTGTGTGGCTAGTATGCAATTTAATTACTGGGTAGGTTAGGTTTGGGCCATATTTAAATTTTACTTCTTAATTTTTAGGGTGTTTTATATTGGAGAATATTGTTTGTATGGGAATTTATTTCCCCCAATTATTTTCCAGTCATATTTTTTTTTCTGTAATTAATTTACTTGTATTAGCATGGCAAAATATTATAAAACTTAAACTTAAACTTAAAGGTATATTATTATGCTTTGTGTTTTCCTTTGCAGCCCAAATCAACCTCAACTGCTTTAATTGGAAAGACAGCTAGCAGTGTAGAGGAACAGGAAAGCGTGTCAAATACAGCCACTAAAGATGAAGATACTGAGGGGGAGTGGGTGGAGCAGAAAATTGACTTCAGAAAATTACCAAGACAATACATGCAGCTGTCAAAGATCAGACTGACAGGTAATGTGATTTTTCCAAAGCTTCATCATTAGAGAAATTTGTGAAAACCCGTCTTACGTGAGCTTGCAAAGAAATTTGTACCAAATAGCCCGAGGCTGGCAGGTTTTGTGATTAGGCTGCTTGATTTTGTCATTGATAGATCAGTAAGTGAATAAGGAGGCAGTGTGGCCGAGTGATTGGAGGGCTGAAATTGCAATCATATGCCCTCAGTTCCATCTCCACCACAACTGCTAGCTGCATTTGTTCTTTGTAGTCCTTAGTTCAACTCCTCGTTCATAGCTAACTAGTTTGCCTCCAACCAGTTGCAATTCTTACCCTTGTTATGTTTATGAACAATTATTGGATGAGGTTTTTGGGATATCCAGAATAATCATGGTCGAGGTAAGTGTTATCAGCCGAGCTGATGGCTGAGGCACTGCGTGCGCAACCTACAGATTAGTCAGTTATCTGCTAGCGGATAACCAATCAATCTGTAGGTTGCAATGATTTCCCAAATTACCTGTAGGCTCTTAGCCAATGAAAAGATAGATAGTGAGTACAATGTATAATATTATTTCAATTATTTGTTTCTTTCCTTATTTGTGGGTCACAATGTAAACTAGTGGGTAACAAGTAATTTTGTCAGTTTTTGCTTGTGATAAGAAAGGAGAATGCAATGTCATGTTAAAAGTCACTTGGGTACATTTTTTTTTCAAAAGGTCTTGTCGTTCTAACAGAAATGGCAGGTTATGCCATTGCACCAGGAGCCATGAATCTCAGCACTTTTCTGTGGGCAGGATTTGGAACTGGACTGTGTTCATCTTCTGCTAATGCTTTTAATCAGGTAGTGTCTGTGTGTAATGAGACTGTGCAACTGAGTTGCCTGTACTTGTATTTAAAATCTTTCTCTTAAAAATATGTTTGGAGGATCAGTTTTATCCATGACCCAGGTTTTATTTTCCTTTATTTCAAAGTCATTATCCTACATTTTTATACCCAAAACTACATGCAAGGGTGGCGTACTTTTCTACAGGTTTCATTTACAGCGCTGTCACATTAGTTTCTCAACAGTTTTTTAATTTCAAAAAAGTGGAAATGAAAGTTGCATTTATAAAAATAAAGCAAGTGCATATCAACTTCCTACTTCCTTATGAGAGAAAGTTAAAATAAGAAAACAAAATCACCAGGTAACATTACAATAGGTGTCTAAAACTTTTTTATCCAGATCACAGGTAGCCTGTGTAACTGATGTAATCTAATTCTGGTTAGTGAAAGCAAAGTGCCCAGATCCTTGTTAGGGGCCCCTAATGGGCACCTCAACAAATTACTGGAAGTGTTTACTTTTGCATTTTCCTTCAAACGGATTGGCAATCACCCATGGTGTTTTTAACAGGGCCAATCATGGTGCGTAATCAAATCCGAGTATACAGTTGGGGGTCCGGGCCCTGTGTTGCGCAGGCTAGATCACAGCTTGCCGTAGCTTTTTCCCTCTTACATGTAGATTGTGTGTAAAAGCTTTTGAAATGAGGCTCACCCGTAAGTGATTTGTTTTGTTTTTAGTGGCTTGAGGTTCCTTTTGATTCTCAAATGAGTCGTACGCAAAACCGTGTTCTCGTCAGGGCTCGTCTCAGGTGAGAAGTGGAATATTTAATACATTATTAGGGACGGACCATTAAAAAAGTTATGGGGGGGAGGGGAATTTTCGAGCCACAGGAATTTTTTTTTGTTATCAAATTCCTTGTATGAATTTTTTTTAGGCCATAGCATGAATATTTCTTAGGATTAATTGGCGTGCATGAATTTTTTTCATATAGTTTTCCCTTGCGCGAATTTTTTTTCCCGTCCCCCATAAGTTTTCGAGTAGTCCGTCCTTTACTAGTTTTGAATTTGGTTATTTCCAGTGAGCTTTAAATAACAAAGGCACTAATTTAAACAGGAGAGCAAAACCCTGAAGGATTCTGGTCATAGTAGGAAAATGACGGTATCGTGCAAATGGCCTAAAGTATTTTACTGGGATGATTGCAATTACTCGCTCTTATTATATTTAAGGATTTTTGCAACATTTTAATCTGTTTTAAATGTTTTACAACTGCTGTGCCAAATGTAAATGACCTTATTAAATTTGTGGCAATGCTGTGTTGCATGGCAAGCTTTGTCCTTGTGCATGTCAGGAGCACAGCGTGGTTTCAAACACCATGCTACTGCCACTGCTGAGCTAAATTCATTTCATACTGTACTTGTTACTAGGTAAGTATTCACAGCCACTTCCCTTCACTAATTGACTGTATTGTTCATTTTGCTAGCCCTCTTCATGTTGTGCTCTTTGGTACCACAGCTGGTCTGTTGGGAATGTCTGTTTTACTTTCTCAAGTAAATGGATTAACAGCAGCTCTTGGTATGAAGATCTCTTATGAAATTTGAATTACTGTATTAACTATATTGATAGTTATGGAATTGACAGAGGTAAATTTCCAAATTAATTGTAAAGGGCAAGATTGCATCCAAAGTCTAAGTTTCCATTTGTTGTCCCTTTTCATTTCCAATGAAAGTTGCTGAAGTGCTGATTCAAACTTCATCTAGCCCTAGTTGGTCAAAAGCTGGATTGTGTTATCCACCAGGTCCGAGTTGTTCAAGAGGTGGCTAACACTATCAACCAGTGGATTAGTTTCCTTAATATTTATCCAGTGGATAGTTTGAACAACTAGGGCCAGGTAATCACTATCCAGTGGATAAGTACCAATGAATGATTGTTATCACACCATTATCCACTGAATCCAGTGGATATATCTTGTAGCATGCAGCGTGCAAAGAAAGTCGTGTCTGATAGCCCGGGGCTAGTGCATTATGTTGCTATTGGGCTAGTGATTTTGGTTCTTAACTTGCCTGACAGGTAAGTGCTGTTTTTTGCGGAAATTCAAATTGCAGAAGGATTGTAATCATTCCTGCTAATCAAACAGGGTTTTGGGGCTAGTTGAAATGACTTGTGGGCCAGTACATACTAGCTACAGCTTGCCCGAATGGCAGGCTATAAAAAATGATTTTCGTTGCACCACATAGCATGTATCCACCTTATGAACAACTGAGGCCAGAATGTCAAAGTGTTTAATAACCAAACATTAATGACTGATTAGATACCAATGAAAATTATGTTTCTTTATACTAAGATGTACACAACAGAGATGTTTGTCTTAAAAATAGTAACACACAGAATCAGATATAATGATCTCACCTCTCCTTTCGCGAGCTGCCCACATGTGACTTCGCATGATTCCCCAAAATGGAAAGCTTGCTCGCAGGCCAATATCACTTCAGAGTCGTAATCTGTGAATACTTATTTACCATTGAATCTTGAATGGTATGAAGTTGCTGAATGTTTTACCACTGTCTTGCAGGTGCTGGCACTTTGTTCCTGTACACATCTGTGTACACTCCCATGAAGCGACTGAGCATTTTGAACACATGGGTAGGGTCAGTAGTAGGTGCCCTGCCTCCCTTGATGGGCTGGGCAGCCTGTACAGGAGGCCTAGACATGGGTGCACTGGTTCTTGCAGGAATTTTGTATTCTTGGCAGTTTCCACATTTTAATGCCCTCAGCTGGAATCTAAGGGCTGATTACTCCAGGGGTAAGTCTTTCAAAGTGAGTTATTTGCTCGATTTATTCCATTGTCAAGGTTGGACTTTGGAGTAAACCATTTAATGCAATTGAATGCTAGGGACTGAAAAAAATAAGCGTTGCCTATGTTGAATAGCCTGCAATGTAGATGTTCAAGATTTAACAGTAAGGGGAAGGGTTAACGGTCATTTCGATTCCAAGTTGTTTTGATACAAGTCGTTTCGATACAAGTTTATTCATTCCAGGTGTAAATAGTTCCACTTACTTGGCTTAAAGAACGAAGATATTCACCCAAAATGTTTCTCTTGTTCACTCGCAAACTATACTTAAAGTGAACAAAATTTTTGCTAATAGGGTCAGGATTTGAAGAACTGGGCGGCAGACCCCGCCAAGAATTCCCAGAAGTACATGTACCCCCCACTTGGCAAATTGACAATGGCTTTTTTAACAGGCCAATGCTCGTGTTTACTCAAATCCTGATACACAGGTTAGAACCCGTAACAAGTATTTCGGCGCTTTTTCTGTCTGTGGCGGGACATTTGAGAAACGGGCCGCATTACAGTGAGACGGAAATCTTCATGTCGTTGCTAATTTGAAGCGCTTCAGTAACTCATCTTTTTCCTTGTAGCTGGTTATCGGATGATGTGTGTCACAAATGCGCCATTGTGTCGCCGGGTCACGTTAAGACACTGTTTGGCTCTAGTTGGCCTCACAACACTGTTACCCGTGTGTGGAGTTACAACATGGTGGCTGGCATTGGACTCGTTACCGCTGAACTTGTGGAACGCTTACCTGGGTTATAAGTTTTATAAGGACTCTGATACCAGTTCAGCACGGAGACTGTTCAGGCTCAGTTTGATCTACCTGCCAATTCTCATGCTAATGATACTCATTCATAAAAAGCCAAGAACTGAACAAGAGGAAGGAGTTGCGGTACAGGCAATCAGTTAGCTGTACACTTATCTCGTACCCAGATGTCTTGCCGGGGAAGAGATTAGCTACGGTCGTTTCGCCTACGAGTCGTTTCGCCAACGTTCTGTTCGCCAACGTCTTAAGTCGTTCCGCTAACGTGTCAGGTCAGTTCCCTAACTTCTTAACCCTGATCAGCGGCTTAAAGAACGAGGAATACGCATGTGTATCGCTCCTTTTCGTGGATTTTCAGCGCTCGTTTCGTTTCTTAAGCGGGACAACTTAGGACGTCATTGAACGGGGCGTTGGCGAAGTGACCGTTCCGGCACTGTACACGGTATGGCTTTCTTGATAGCACAGTTTATGGGCAATATTCAAGTGTATGTGCCTTTTTTTTTTCTGAAGAAAGGCTCTCAACGTCGCGTTGTTATCATTAAAAATGGTTGGTTTTAACTAGACAGTTCACAACACTCCGTTTTCTAGTAGTTTGTCCGGATTCGATGGCACGCGAACTGGATGCAAGTGTAAAAGTGGAGTGCAAAAGTTAAAGTGGGGTTGGGCATGACCTCAACACGCACGTCGCCCTCGTAACACGCGTTGCCCTCGCTTTGCTCGTAGTTGGTCGCGTACCTTCCTTTTGCTTTGAGAGAACAGAGATGCTGTGAACAGTTGAAGTTTTAATGTGCCTGAAAGTTAAAGTGTTTCAATAGCCTACTTCGTTGATGCGACTTTGTACTTCTAATCGAGGAAATCACCATCACTTTACATTACTGAATATATTTCTTCTCAGGGTAACGCGCATGGCAGACGTTTCAAGGGAACAGAAAGGGAAAATAAAATTGCGCGAGAACACCTTTCATGCACTCGCGCGCCTTCAAACGCCTGCCACGCGCGCTTCGTGTAAATAGTAGGGAGCTTGGGCAAAGACGTTTTTGAGCGACCCCCGTCAACCGGAAGTGGACTTTCTGCATTCTTGGGCAGTAGTTTTGCCCAAACGTTGGGGTGAATCGTCGGTAGATTTGTTGCCTCCAGGCATATTAAAAGGAAAAAAGGCCCTGATTTCTGGTTGTCTTGGGTTACTCAAAAACGCCTTTTCTCAAGCCCCCTAGGGACAGGCAAAGAGGTCGAAGCTTTCAGTCAAAATCGGCAAATCACAGTATTTATTAGTTTCAGGTTTAAGAGAAGGCTTGCTCTCTTAACTGACTGGAAAGTGACTTCTTGCCGTCAAGGCATTCACACCCCACTCTTTATGAGAAGTATTTTTCTGTCTTTTTGTTCTTTTACAGATCGTTTTTAATTGGCCAATCGTAGTGTTGAAACCGGCTTTGACCCGATTACTTATAAAACTGAGCTGTTAAGTATTGTTCATGAAAAAAATAATTGTAATAATTGGTGTGGATATTTAAAATAACTTTTTCCAAAGTGGTTTATAAGAGTATTTTTACTTTTAAAATTTACTGAGTATAATAATTAATGTGCGGATGGTAAAACTAACACCTTTGTTGTACAAAACAATTTTGATGCGCTTTTTAAAATTGTATTTCAGTTAATGTGGTTCGACAATTTTAGAGTGTAACGTTATTTATAGTGCAAAACAGTAAGTGTTTTTACCACCGGGGGGGGGGGGGGGGGGTTTATTGCCCCCATTTTCCCCCCAAAAAAAAATTTTTTTGGGGAAAAAAATAAAAAATTTTTTTTTTAAAATATTTTTTTCGTCAAAATGGCAAAATATTAGCCCTCTTTTTTTTTTTGTTTCTTGCTTTCTCTCTGTCCAAAAAAAAATAAAAAAAAAAA